AAACAAAAGTTTATAATATATATATATATATATATGCGCGTGCGTGTGTGTGTGTGGAAAAAAATCTGGCGTCCAACACGAACCACATAATCTTTTGAAGATTGAAGATTGAATATGGCCCATAACAGGATAAAGCCATGGGGATGGCACGCAAGCGCTGACTCATTCTCCACTACTCGAAAGCAAAATTCGACAATTCAGGATCTTGCACGTGCTCTGACATTACCGACCAATGGGCCTGAAGGCCCAACAAGTTATTAGGTGCAGATTGGCCCAATTCAGATTATTTGTCGGATTTTCAATTTTTTTTATTCAAAAATATAATAAATTTATTATTTATTTCTAATTTAAACTATTCGCGTATTAATAAATTAAATTTTCAATGTCACTAAATTAAGTATTATAAATAATACTATCACTATTCAATTGACAAAGTTTTAGTTATAAGGAAGATTCGGACTTATGATATTTAAATAAAAAATAAAAAAATTTTAATCATTAAATAAACGTGTTGTTGGTATCTCAAATTTAATATACAAGACTTTCATATTTTCTCTTTTTTATATTTTACATTTTAGTGGTTGATAAGAAATTCAAAGAATTGTCTCGTATAATTTTAGTGGTCCATCTCATATTTTTACCCCCAAAAAACCAAACCCACCTGTTTCTCGTCAAATTTTTATGTAGCAGCAAAAGAGTACTGAATGAATAGAACAAACAGATTTTAAAAAAAAAATTAATTAATTAATTATTTAAAACTCCCTTAGGTATAATCCACATCAATATCAATTCATACAAAAATTTCTATTAAAATGCTTACACTTTTGACATTTTTCTAAGATTATATGATTAGCACTTTTGACATTTTTTTATTATCCGAGTTTATTGGATTTCAGATAACTAAACACATTTAGATATTTGAATTAAGCTCAAATCAAGTAGATAAATTCAATTAATTTAAAACTCACTCTTCACTTGAATTGGACCAAATTAATATATGTCAATAATTATCTAGATATTTAGTTTGTCGAATAATGCAATCTCTTATTTGATTCCTTAAATAACTTCGACTTTTTTTTATAGTAGTATTATCCCAAAAATACAAAATTGTATCATATCAAATAAACAAAAGAACAATATTTTAGGTTACAAGAAATGTGAAAAAAAAAAAAAAAAAACTATAACAAGTAAAATTGAGCAAAATTGCCTAAAAATAACAAACAATTAAATATATCAAAGTTTAAAAATTAAAAAATATAATCATAATTAAGAGTAAACTTAAGTCTTACCCTTCAATATCTTTATATAGTGTAGTTAACCTCGTCTCCTATAATTGCATAAAGGAAATGGATATCACATCTTGTTTTTGTTTGGCTCAAAGACATACTTGATGATTGAATCTTTGATTGATAACAAATCAGGAAACTCTTTCTTTAGCTTTGTAGCATCCATCTCGTTGTTACTCCTTGGTGCTATAATCACTTTAGCCTGTTCTTCAAGATTAAAATTGGTCCAGCTGAATTTAGGATCTACATAATCTCTATACATTTTTAAGATCTCATTGTGGCTTATGGCTCCAGGATTTGTGAAATTCCATATCCCTTTGTAATTCCTCTTTGCCATCTCAATAGAGATTGGTAGTAGCTCATCTAGCACTGTCATGCTATTGGGTATGTTCACCACTTTGCTATAGCGAGTGATCTTGGTTATGAAGTTTCTAGGGTTATTAAGGTCTGATGAGATTGGCATTCTTACTCTTAAAGTGCATACATTATCATATTCTCTTAGCAGCTCTTCAACCTATAAATTTTACCAAATTTCATTAGTAAGAAAAGAAAAAATGAAACCAAAAAGTTGAACTCTTTTACAAGATACATTTATTTAAATTATAGTAGTAGACATATTTACCATGGCTTTTGTCTTGGAATAGAAAGATCCTGTGAAGTTTGGTTTGTTTTCCTCCTTGAATCCTATACCTGAACCTTGAGGATGACTTTGATCGTACTCGAAAATGCAGCCGGTTGCAAAGTTCATGACTAATAGATTATGATCTTTGCAAACATCAGCTAAGGTTAAGGTACCCACTACATTGCTCTTAATGGTTTCTGGCTTGTGAGATTCACACCAATCAACATTAGGTCTGCCTGTGACACCAGCAGTATTGAACACATGACTTGGTTGTACCCGGTTTATATCTTCTATGAGTGACTTCCTGTCCTCCAATCTTCCTTTTCCATACTCGAATATGATTCCCATTTCCTTGCATAGCTTCCCAAGTAACCCTCCAATCCAACCAGTTCTCCCATATATCAAGAATTTGACTCCTAATCCACTAACCAATTCATTGTTTAACTCATTACAGTAGTATAAGAAATCATCATCACAAAGAGAAAGACTTGAGACACATGGGTGTGGTCTAAGTGCAGCAGAGACATCACCCCAATAATAAGGATTCCTAGTGTACCACTCCATTGTCATCTTTAACCCATCAGCCCAAGCTGTCTGCTCCTTCCACCCAAGCTTTTTAAGTTTCTGATCATCTAAAAAATACCTATGGTCATTAAAAGGCCTATCATGGACAAACTTTATAACTTCTTGAGGATTCAATCTAAACAGTTTACAAATATCCCCTGCCACATCCAACACGCTCCTCTCTTTTTTAGTGCCAATGTTGTAAACATGACCGATTGCCCCTTTATGAAGAACTACATCGAATGCCTCTGCTACATCTTCTGAATAAAGATAGCTTCTTACATTTGATCCATCTCCATGAATTGGCAATTTTTCTCCCCTCATAGCTAGCAAAATGAACTTAGGGATAAGCTTTTCTGGGTATGATTAGGGCCATAAACATTATTGCCACGAGTAGTGATCGTTGGTAACCCATAAGATCTATGATAAGCCATCACCAACATCTCAGCTCCTGCTTTGGTGGCCGAATAAGGATTTGTAGGCAATAACTGGGAAGCCTCTGGATTACCAATGTCGGTCTCCATATCTGTTTCACCATACACCTCATCTGTGCTAACATGAATGAACCTCTTGATTCGTTGAGTTACTTTACAGGCTTCAAGAAGAACATGGGTACCATAAATGTTATTATTGGTGAACTCAAAAGAGTTGCCAAAAGAATTATCAACATGGGTTTGTGCAGCAAAGTGCATGATCGTGTCAATATCTTCGGCAACCAAAAGATAGTTAACAAGATCAGCACTAGCAATGTCTCCCTTAACAAACTTGAAATTTGGGGAGGAACGACATTGATGGAGATTCTTGAGGTTGGAGCAGTAGTCAAGCTTATCAAGGGCTATAATCTTGTAATCAGGGTAGTTTTTAATCAAGCGACTGGTCACATGAGATGCAATGAAACCTGCTGCACCTGTTATAAGGATCCTCCTCGGTGCATATGGAGCAACTTCACTAGACATCCTTTATTCTTCGTCTGATTTCAATCTATTACATTATAGATTAATGCAATAATCATGATTTCATGATCAAAGACCACAACTAATCACTCACAATATAAACACATATTCCACTTTCAGCCATTAAAATGAATTACTAATAAATTTTAAACTTTATTTATCATTAAAAAAAATAAATAAAAGTCATGTCTGTCTTTAATCATAATTCTAATGATCACTTTGCTCTAAAAACTAAAAGGCAAATCATAAGGAACTACTGATATATATATATATATGTATGTATATATATAAGCAAAACATATTTCATTCTTATATTATATGATGAACATAGAAGTAAATCCAGAATAGATTAATAAACTTAAGAAAGAAAAAGCACTTACAGAGTGAGGTTGGTTAAGAAACGATCATGGAAGAGGAAAAATATATTTTCTGTACAATGCAGGTGAAAGGAAAAAAAGATAAAGAAGGTGGATACTTTTAGATTTGATTAAAGAGGAAGAGGTCAAGGTGTAGGGATTAAACAAGACCTTGAGGCTTAAACACATATAACGTGTCATATAATCCGTTTTTATTTGCATTAATTTTGATAAAATAAATTACTATTTATATACAATCCAGTAGTTTTTTAGATTGTTTTTCAGTGGATGATGTTTTTTTTTTTTGAAAAAAAAAGTAAATTCGAAGCAATTTTTCTTTTTGCTATATTGGACATTTCATTCGAAATTTAATTTCATTTAAAAAGTTGTTATTTTTTACTAAAATTTAAATTATCTGAATTATCTGCGGTAAACACTTATTAAGTGCTTCAACAATTTTAAATTGGATCGATATATCTTACATTTATTTTTAATAATTGTTTATAAATATTTAAAAGAATATTTTAAATTGACCCTTTTGAAACATCTGATAATTTATGCTAATTAATAATTTAACTACCAGATTTATATCAAGCAGAAGCATTATCTCATAATTTGTTTATGGTCTTCCGTAGTTTATGGGTTTTATTTGGTCACATTAACAAATATTACCAAAAAAAATGTGAATATCTTTCTTTAAAACTAAAGAAATGGCAAATTGTTAATGACAGTTCAAAATTTATAAGTATCTTTTGATTAAGTATTTAGGCCGTAGAGAACTAAGATCATCAGCAGATATTACACCGTTAGCTTGTTTTAAAGAAGCATTTTTAATATTAGTTTAAGAAATTTAAAATATTATTTACAAAAAAATTAAATTCAAATAATTAAACTTGGAAAAATATAAGTTCCTTTTGCAGTTAAGATTTGGTTAGTGTTGTTGATTTTGAGAATATGATAAATTTTTCAATGGCCAAAAGAACTTCCTTTATTTTTTATTTTTTTCTTCTAAACTTTTTTTTAAAAAAAATAATTATTTTTAGTCTATTTAATTCTTTACTTTCAAATTTGCATCCTATTAAGCTTCAACTTCAACTGTGGATGGTTTAATCTAAAGATACGTAGGTATCAAACTTATGATATGTAAACTATTGGTACATTTTGGTCTCCCATTCTTGTCATCTTATTTCTCCGAGCACCAATCCAGATTAATTATCATCATTATAACTGGTTTGATTAAGACTTGTAACGTGTGGAAGGTGCAAATGATGGTCTTTCGCTATGGTCTATGGATCCAACAGCAGCCAACTCCATGAAATGCTACAATGCAAAGGGAAATGGTGCAATGGATCCGACGCATCTGATCTTTTCCTCTATTCTATATGAAGAAAATACTTCCCTGCCTTACTGATGCTGTGTTGGAACAACTATGTTCCTAGCATCAAGCTTTTTCCCATTTACAAACTGGTTCTAGCCTTTCATCATCACATAACTTTGGTTGTTGTTCCAGTAAGAGTATCCGAGCCTCTACGACTTCCCGCTCTGGTTCTTGAAGTTCGAGAACAGATCCTTCACATTCGAGGATGAATCTGCGTGCTGCTTTGGGATTACTAGACAATTCAATATACCCGCATCACTTGGGGTCACTACTTCGTCAAATATGTGCTCATCCTCGATCGAAAGAACAGTGTCCACAGCTGCACCATCCGTTGGATTTAGCCCCAAAACCTACAAAGATGAATTTGAATCGACTTGAGGAGCTTCGTCTAATTCGATTACTGGTGAAATATCCGTGAAATCAACCTTCGCTGCATAGCCTGGAGTTATGTTCCTCATCTTGATCACGTATGTTGTCGAGCCATGAACTCATGTGGTGAATCTGCGAATCCTAGTGGCTAGCACCAGCAAAAGTAGTGGGATTTTGGGGCTTGAAGTGGGAAGAAGCCGAGGAATGAGGGGTGGAGGAAGAGTAATTAAAAAAAGGAAATAAAAAATTGAAAAAATTCTGATTCTTTAACCTGACATATTTGTCACGTTATATGCTATAACATCTATTATGTGCTTTAAATTTGATTTATTATTAATCACTAGTTCAATATTAAACAGTCTCTAAATGAGAGTTAAAGCTGAAGATTAATAAAATAGAATTTTAAAAGTACATAATTAAAATAAATAAATAAATAACAAATAATAGAGGGAATAATATAATATACAAAGAATTCGTATATAATAAAAGTTAAATATAATTCTTGAAAATAAAACCGATTTAGGACGGTAAGTTGACTATGATGATAACGCAACTGGGTGGCAATCCCATCAGCAGTCAGCTTCACAAATATTGTGTTTTGGGTTCCCATCGCGCATGCTGGTTCTGCATGGCCATCAATTCCAGCGTGAAGTATGTGGGGTCCAAGACTAGTAATCGTACTTGTATCTCATCAGGTGGGTCCCAGTTCTTAAATCAGACGACTCGCATGAAAAGTTTCTCTCGCAGATTCATTCCTCACGAAGCTGGTTATTACACAGTTGACGACTTTGCAAAAGTATGTTGGTTTTATATCAATTGTTTTTATAGATGAGAGAAAGAGAACAAGAACCACTTAATTGCTTACAAATAAATGCAAATTTCTTCTCAAAACCCATCATGATAAATTGATAACTGAAACCATATACATATATATATATTCAATTACATTATTTACCACCCATAAACTTAAAGATCCCTGATGCACACAACATACATGCTGTTACACTATACTCACACTGAGAGAAACGTGGAAAATAAAGAGACGCGGAAGGTATATATGTATGTATATGTATGACGATATATGTGGTGGTATCAGATTTTTTGGATTCGAATAAGTACACCATGTTCGGGTTCTACTATCATCCTGAAAATAGGGGAATGCCGATAATGAGGGGAGAGAGAGAAGTTGAACTTGGAGACGATGAGGGAGAGAAGAACCTTGAGTTGAACCATGGCAAAGTTCTTGCCCAAGCAGACGCGAGTACCAAGCCCGAATGGCACGTAGGCCTGGTGGTGTCTGCAAGCTTTGGAAACTCCATCACTGAACCTCTCTGGTCTGAACTCGTTAGCGTCTGCTCCCCATATATCAGGATCACGATGAAGAGTTGGAATCAGAGTCCATATGCACACTCCTTTTGGCACTACAATGTTGCCGATTCGAGTATCGGCCAGCGCCTCTCTTGACACAAATGTTGCTGGCGGGTATAGCCGAAGGGTCTCTTGAATTACCATTGACAACTGAAATTGCAAACCCAGATAATAATCATCAATACCAATCATTTAATTTCATCTCCAAATATATATAAATTTTTTTGAAATTAAGTACGTACAGTTTTCAAGTGGGGAATAGAATCAGTGTCGGGAAGGCCATTCTTGCAGAACTTAGCGACCTCTTGGCGGATGCGAGATTGCCATTCTGGATGGAGAGCGAGGAGCATGAGGCACCAGGAGGCGGCAACTGCAGTTGTTTCATGGCCGGCGAAGTAAATGTTCTTGCAATTGTCGACGATGAATTGCTTGGAGGAGACGGTGTCTCCAGTTGTGTCCTTAACAGCTGCCTCCAGTATTGACTGCATCAAGTCTTTTTCATGACATGCAAAATTTTCTTGTCGACGTTCCTTCACTGTTTCCCAAATCAACGATTCTATTTCACTCTCCAAGTTGCTGATCTTGTCGTGCTTCTTTCCCGGAAATAATCTCTCGCTGCATTCATTATTATTGGTTAATTATTATTTATTATTAAATAACAATTGAATTAAAAAATGTATATATACCGAAAACTAGCGACGTCGAAAAGGTTGATGCTTTGCTCCACAATGGCTTTTTGAAGGCTCCTGAGCTTGGAGAAAATTTGTTTGCCTTTGCAATAAGAGCTGCCAAAACAAGTCCTGGCGATGACATCCGCCGATACGCTCCGCAAGTCCTCGTCAACGCTCACGTCAATTGGCATGCCGCCTTGGCATTCAATGCTGTTTGACCATGACTCTAGCAGTGGTTGTGCCGACTCTACCATCAAATCCACCATGCCCTACCATCCATCACACCGTCATTGATTAATTCATATTATTTTCTTTTACATACACACACACACACATACACACACATCCACACGTGGGTTAACCTTGACTTTGTCGATGAAGAACTCAGGGGCAATGATCTTGCGTTGTCGAGCCCATTCATGAGAGTTGGACCTGATAATGCCGTTGCCTAGCATGGGCCTGAATCGCTTGGTCAAATAAGAAGGCTTACCCAAGTCCAATGTCTTAGTCTGATTCAATTCCTTGACTAGCTCCGGCTCATTTATCAAAAGGTGCTGTCTTGACCCAGTCGAGTATGTGAACACTAGACCTAAATGTCAACCCAAATCCCACATCAACTTTGTATACCTTCCTATTTGTTGAACAACCACAAAAAGCTTACACATTATACTTATCCAAATCTTTATTATTACTTCTCACCCACAACAACCTCAATCTTATTGAATTTAGTGTACCTACCAGGTCAATTTCAGTTATTGTTTGATTAGAGAAAGTTGACAAATTGAACCTTCAATTAAACTTAGATAAGAATATGACTACTACTAAATTATCCCTACAGAAAATGGCTCGTTGGGTCTGTCTTTTCTTATTTATTTATTTATTTTTTTTGGTGGCCTTGTATGGATAGATTCAACTTATTTACTTTCAGAATAAAAGTACTACCTATCTACTTACAAGCTATTAGCCCCATCACTTCAATTGGAAGGAAAAAAAAAAAAAGAAAAAAGAAAAAAAAAAAGACAAGAAAAGAAAAGAAAAGAAAATTATTTCCTCCTTTATTTTTTATTATTTTTAAAAATTAAAAAAAAAAAAAGAAAAAATCAAAATGGGTCCCAGGAATTATAGTATCTGTAATTGGTAGAAGAAGCATATTGATAAATAAGGTAGGATGCCAGGGCTGAGCCAGCTACGGTTAGGGCCTAACTAAAATCTGCGTCAACAATAGGGCCACCTCTATCTCTCAAATCTTTTCTCCCCAATCATAATTATTTAAATTATAATTAATTATTAATTAATGACACGATAGCTTTGTCAAATATTCTCCTTGGAATCTTACTCATCTAGGATTTGCTCTCGTGGTAACATCACAATCACTGGGAAATTTAAAAATAAATTATTCTCCAAACAATATGCACAGAGGAGACAATAAAATCATGTAATAAAGCTAAAAATTATTTCTAGAAAAAGGGTTAAGTAAATTACTAAAGTATTCAAACTTTCTTTAGTTTTTCATGTGGGTCTAAACACTAATTAAAATAAATTATTAGCTACAAATCTTGTAATATGTATGTATAAAATTGTCACATGGCAATTGTGCGGATATAGAACGGTAATGCGGACTGTCGACCGCCGACGATTATACAGTCACAGACATGAGATTTTGGGTAATGGGCAGACACATGTGGCCCATATTTTTAGGCTAATTTGACAAAAGCAGGGCGATTCATTTTTTTTTTTTTTAAATTTTAACTAATAACAAGAAAAAAATTAAATTCCAGTCTTTTCATTGCAAAGATAAGTGGGATGTTTTGGCTAACTATGAAATTAATAAAATTTCTTTTTTTAAAAAAAAGAAAAAAAAAAGAGGGAAGAGTCGGGTTTGGATATGCACAAGTACAATAAAAAGGGTGTGGTGGCAAATGAAATTTCAAAAGTTAATATTAATTACCTTCAATTTGTCTGAAGATAATTTTTTTAAAGTAAAAATTGGAAATTGAAGATAAAAGGGGATGATTGGTTGGTTAGTGGGAAAAGTAAGGAAAGAGAAAAAAAAAATGTATCGTATAGAGCCAATGGGTTCGTGACCTAGGAGTCTGGACCAGTGTGTGTAATGATGCATGCTTAGCTGTTCTCTCTTTCAAAATGAACTCTCTTTTCACTCTCAAACTCTTTCTTTCAGTTACAACTGCAAGCTTTGTATACACATAAATAAATATAATCTCCAAACACAAACAAAATCAACTTTAATATATATCATACCATATAACATTATTATATATTATAATTCATGAAAAAATTTTAATGCTGACCCACCTATTTCTTGATTTTTGACCCAAATGAAAATGAAGATATATACGTACCGTATTGCTTAGTCCAGAGATTAAAGTAAGGGAAGAGAGTGGAGGTGTAGTCGTGGGTGAGAGTAGTAGAGTGGTTGGGGCGAGAGTTGAGACGTTGGAGGCGGTGCATCTCCGGCAAGTTGCCGTAGAAGAGAGAAGGTGGAGGACCTCTGATTCCCTGCGTCTGCAGCTCTCTCTTCGCCCTTTGCAACTTTACCCACACGTAATGGACTACCAACCACCCCCACACGCCTATCACCACCCACCATAAACTTCTCCCTACACCTCCCTCTAATTCAACTACGCCTTCCCTTTCACTCTTATACATCTCTCTATATATATATATATATATTGTACTTCTTTCTATATATATATATACGTATATACTAGCTACTGTCATACAAGGAGAAAGAGTAGAGAGGAGAGGAGAGGAGAGGAGAGCTTGGTTGTATGTATTATTGGGGGGTTGGGGTGGAAGGCAGCCATTTATATACACACGCCCAAACACACGTACCATATGCTTACATATACATGCATGTGTCGATGTATATAACACACCTTTTTGTCTTTCTTTTTTTTTAAAAAAAAAATATATATATATATATTATAAATCAAACACTTTAATT